ATACTATACTCTTTTTACAAAAAATCAAAAATGAAATTCTCATTATTCAAATCTATGTGAATGACATCTTTTTTGGATCTTCAGATAAAAATCTGTGTGATGAATTCTCAAAAACAATGAGTAATAAGTTTGAAATGAGCATGATGAGAGAACTTAACTATTTTCTTGGCTTTAGTGTGAAACAAATGGATAATGGAACATTTCTTAGCCAAACGAAATATATTAAAGATGTTCTGAAAAAATATAAAATGGATAGTGCTAAGCCCATGAATATTCCAATGAGCTCAACAATTCAATTAGACAAAGATCCTAATGGAAAATTCTTAATCTTGGCCTACCTGTAGGAACCATCGCAATCATGTGTGACAACACAAATGCAATTTGCATCTTTAAGAACCCAATTCAGCACTCTCGAACGAAACACAGACATTAGGCACCATTTCATAAGAAATCACATTGCTAATGTGGATATAAAATTGCATTACATCACTTTGACTTGTTTTCCTAGTTGGCAAACATCACATAAATGATCCTTAGTAATGTCTAACTTAGGTACGTCTCTAACTAGATTTTTCTGAGTGATATTTCTAAGTGTTTTCATACTAGCATGGCATAGTCTCCTATGCCATAACCATGAGTCATCAATTATTATTTTTAGGCAAAAAAATTTAAACTATCAATGTAATCAAGGTTTAACATGTAAACTTTGTTCATTCATTTTCCTTCTAAAACAAGTTTTTCATTTAACCTAATCAAACATTTATCAGACATAAATTTAATATCAAAATCTTTATCACACAGTTGACTAATGCTAAGCAAGTTATGCTTCAAACCATCAACTAATAAAACATTTTCAATTAAAAAATTCTTAGCATTATCAACAATACATTAGCCTATCACTTTCTTGGTAGTGGTCTCCCAATGTTAATTTGCCTCCAGTAGAATGAACTTCTTCATATCTCCAGTCATGCGTCGCGAACAACCACAATATATGTACCACATGCTTTCACTATGTCTTTTGTGAGAGCATCCCTACAATTTCATTCAAGGATTAGATTTGGGATCCCAAGTGAGTTTGGGTTCCTCTTTATGCTTGCATGAATGAGATGTATGCATGCTATGCTGTGATGGATACACTTTAGGTCTCCATACTAAGTGTGTTCTACGGTGAATTGTGCAAGTGCGGGCTATGTGACCTTGCATGTCACAAGAGAAGCATCTAACACCAGGAAATGTGTTTGCTAACCTATGTGGGTGTTGATGCCTCTTCCTAAAGTTGTGTGATGCATGCTGTGTTGAGGATTTACTAGACTGTGCTAATATGAGTGATGCATTTTCTTTTTTTATTTCTTTGATTTTTTTCTTTAAAAATGTTGTTTTGATATGTCAATCCATGAACTTCTATTTTTAACAAATGCTCACTATGATCTACTTCTAATACAAGTTTGTCTAGTCTATCAAAAGTTTTTTGTAGTTCAACATGAGTGATTTTCAAGGTTTCATGTATTTCAGTTAGTTCAATATGCTTCTTATTTAATGCATTATACTCATCAAGAAGTAGCATATGATTTCTATCTAAATCAGAATTTTTTTTGACTAAGTTAGCATGCTCAGTTTGTAAACAACTAAACTCAATATTAAGACTAGCATGCATCTTTTTCAATTTCCTATACGAGTCATGAATTTTTTCAGAAATGAGCAATAAATCTTCATATGAAAGTTGACATACCTCATCTTGATCAATCAAGATTATCGTTAGTCATTAGACACAAATTTGTTACCTCCTCATCTGCTTCTTTTTCTGATGATTCTGAGGTAGAGTCGGCCCAAAAAGCTTTTTGTGTCTTCATTTTTCCTTTCTTATACTTGGCATTGTCCTCGCTCTTTTCGCGTGCAAGTTCCTAGTTTCTGATAAATGAAAATTTCTTTTGTTTTATTATCTCTTAGTGAGTTCTTGAGTGAAATCCCAAGATCTCTTAGTGAGTTCTTGAGGAAGAGATTTTTAATTGATTCCCTCATCTCTCTTTTCATTCTTTCTTCTCCCCACCGTCCGTCCAAACTCCTCCCAAGTTTCACTCCCCTCTCTCTCTCCCCTATTAAAATGCTTACTTCAATCTTAGAAGTTTTCCTAATTTGAATAATAAAGAAATGTTCTGGTTTGGAAATATTAAGTGTTTGGTTTTTACTTAAAGGGTTATGAACTTATGATTTTAAGTTGCAAATGAT